TAAAGATTGTGCTGTTTATTTCAACTGGAGGTAGAGAAGTTGGAGCTGGAAAAAAACCATAGTGTAGTGGATGGAGCTTTTCAGAGTTGGGGTCTTGGGTTCAAATGTCATCAAGTACAGTATCGGCATGCATCAACACAAAAATACTGTCCGGTTACCAGAGCAAACTTGTCCCTCGGTTCACATCTGCGCAGGTGGTGCCCCTGCGGGACCTGCATGAATGCTTGCAGCTGCACTACCCACACAGAGGAATGCAGGACACGCAGGCGGGTGCCATCAATTCTAATGGCGCGCCGCCCACACTAGAAAATCGCAACTGTACTGGAAACCTTGGTTCTTGCACGGGCTGCGATTTCCAAAGTAGTGCAGGGACTTCTTCCCTGCGTGTCCTAGGGCATGGAAGTCAAATGAATCAAATGGGCAAATCACGGCCCGCACGACCACACAGATGTGAACCAGGGCTTATACGTAAATTAGTATGGCAGGAGGATTAGACTGTAAACGTCTACTGAAGCAGAGACTCTGTAGAATGGATCTTGAAGGGATCTCTAGCCTGGTGTTTTGTTCACGCTCCAGCCTAGACATAACCACAGGATTAATATGTGATTGACAGCCTTAGTGCCCAATAGGGAGGCATGGAGGGGGTGCAGATCAGCATGTAACCAAGCAAACTCTATTTGCAAATTGTGTAAGGGAGCTTCCTGGGTTTTGGAGCATCAAGGGGGATTTAAAGTATATGTGAATCCTCACCTTGTAAAACCATCCTTTCAGTTAAAAGTAGAAATAAAAGGCAAAATATTTGTGTATTGATATTAAAATAAAAATTCTAATACCTTTTTCTCCCTTTTTATAAGTGAACACATTCCCTCAGTTCTCAGCTGCATAAGAGTTGGGGGAGAAGAAACGGCGGCACACCGACCTTCCCAGTGAATGGCTGTGCAAGGAGAAGGGGGGGTAACAGTATGATCATTGGAGGAAAGCACACAGAGTTCCCAACACAGCTAGCAAACTGACCATTCTGTGCTCTCCTGCTTAATGTGGTCAATTTAATAGGAAAGCAGAGGGACTGGCAAGAACACCAGGGACTTTACACAGAGAACAGGATACTTTTTCATACAAGTACATGGTACAGCAGACACATATCAGGAATATGAAATGTTGGGTTTACATGTTCTTTAAGATGATGTTGAGCATGTCATCAGGCAGATGTCCATTCTACATTCCAGGTGCCAGTTTAACATTCTAGGTCACACCACAAGTACACATTAAGGTATATTAACATCCAGCAGAGATTAATGCTAATCTGTAAGTGTACAAGTATGGGAGCTGTCACTTCCAGCTTATTCTAAAAAGTATCCTCACCCTGCCATTACTGACCTGGAACAAGAAAGCAGTCAGAGCAATTCAGAGAAAAGTCTGAACTCACTACCATCATGCTAACTCCATGTCAGTAACTCACTAGGCAGAAAGAAAAAAAAAAAAAAAAAAAGGATAAAAAAAAAAATTTGGAGCCTCATCTTCAAAAGAAAAAAAAAAAAAAAAAAATGAATAAGAAGGGGGGAAAAGAAAAAATAAAGGAAAGGCATATCAGGTATCAGTATCCCATGTGACAGCTGTTCAGTCTGGTGACTGGCCATTCTGAGGTTAGGTTCATACCCAGTGACTCTGCCAGCCACATTTGTGCGGGAACAGCAAATCCTTCATTGGAATGTGCTGCAGTGCCTGCATTTCATGCAGGAAAAAGCTTCTGCATCCTTTTTACAATGCAGCTACGGGGAAATCTCATGATGCTTTTGCATTGAAAATGCACTGTTTTCAGATGCTTAGGCGTACCATGAAAAATGAATGGTAACCCTAAGTGTCTGCAAAAGAGTAGCACGGTTTGGCTGTGGGTGCGGGAACAGGTGCGATTTACATGCTGTCCCACACCAGCAACCACACAAGTGTGAACCTAGCCTGAAACCCCAATGTGCATTGCGGGAGTCCGGGACGTTGATGATTACCGAGGTACCAGATATCTGCTGGGACTATAGCTGCATACAGGGTATCAGAGGTGTTCGATTTGCAACGTCAGCTGTATATTTATTTCTTTGATCTAATAATTGACCAGGTTTTTTTTAAAATGTATCTCCAATAAATCAAAAATTGATGGAAGTTTACGTAAGAGGATTGCCGCAATACATAAGAGAAGCTCTGTTTCAGACTGCTCTGTGTAACAACCTGGTCAGGTTCATTCTAGAGCCTGGGTGTCAAACTGGTGGCCCTCCAGCTGTTGTCAAACTACAAGTCCCATGAGGCATTGCAAGATTAACAGTTACAAGCATGACTCCCAAAGATAGAGGCATGATGGGGACTTGTAGCTTCGCAACAGCTGGAGGGCCGCCAGTTTGACACCCCTGTGCTAGACAATACAAATGTTTAAAGTTCCTGATACCCATCCCAGACCATTACTAGACTTTATTTTTGGCTTTGAAGGGTACATGCAAAGATAAAAAAAGAGACAGGTCAGTATTCTCATTTAGGGCATGATACACTTCAAACAATTAACAGATAGGGGAACAGGCAGGGGCGGACTGACCATTTAGCCACTTAGGCACTGCCCGAGGGCCCAGTGTCAGTAGGGGGCCCCATGAGATGCCCCTGGTACCTTTCATTGGCTTTTTTGGGTGTGGGGCGAGGACACGGGGGCCCCCATAATCCCCTATTGCCCAGGGGCCCCATGAGTTGTCAGTCCGCCCCTGGGAACAGGTCTGCCGTATAAAAAATAATTTGCCAAGATGTTGCAGTATTGCTCAGTGTTCCGCAATTAAAGAAAAAGGATAGTTTTTGGAACAAAATTTAGGCTGTCAGTTCTCCAGAAAACATATGAAGTCACTGAGGCAGGCAGAATATAAGATGGCTGCTTCACCTGTGAGCGTCTGTGTGCTATTAGTGTCTGTTCATACACTGAGCATGCCCAGGGCTCCCTCAGTGTCACTTCACAGTCCACCAGCACCACCAAGTGGAAAAACAGAGACTGCCAATTAGAATAGAAATAGGAGCACATTTTTATATTCATTTTTTATTCAAATTAAACAGATACTGAACAGAAGCCTTTCTACATTAATTGGAAGATAGAAAGCATCATAATCATCTTCCATTTTTTATCTTTGAGAGCAACTGCCAGTTCTCTCCAAATTTCAGAGTTTAAGCTGCAGTGCCTTACTGACAGGACCAAGGTGGGGGTCATGCTTAAAGGATAACTCCACATTCGTGATGGAAAAAAAAAAAAAAAAAAAAAAAAAAAAGAGCGCAAATATAGCATACACAACTGCTACACAAGTCATATTGTAATTCAAGGTTATTAAAAGTGACCTTTTTCCTTTTCAATCTGCAACTCTGTAGTTTTTGTAAAATGCAATTCAATATGGCAACCAGGAGGAATTCTGGACACAGATGGTGTACAGAATGCCTCAAGATATGTCATTTCCTGGTTGTGTGATTAGCGTACTGATTTTTTCTACAAGTCTACACTAAAGTAAAAGTCAGATTTTGGGCATCCCCTGCAAAAAAAAAAAAAAAAAAAAAAAATGTAATTTTTGGTGAGATACTCCCAAAGGGCAATCCCATCTAAAGGAACGCAGATCCTGAAATTTTCCTCAATAGAACCCTGCAAGTGCAGCAGCTGAATGATAATTATATAATTCACTCCGATTATATTCACTCTACACATTGACACAATCCGCTATTTCTTCAGAACAACAAAAAGGCAGGAATCCACAACAATGTTTGTTAAAACCCTGAAATGTACATAGATCACCCTGAGGGGAATGATTTCTCGCAACAAAAAGCAGAGTTGCTCTTTTATACTGAACAGGTACACATTAATTCCCCGTTCCTAACATTCTCCCCTTTCAGTTCATTTAGCTGGTGGAAGAGATGAAAGGAAGCCCTCTGTAACCCAACTGGCTTGATAGGTTAAGGAGCTGACTTTGTTTTAGCCCTGGTTCACACTGATACGGTGCGTAATTCGCAGCGTTTTCAGTGCAAATTCCGCACCGCATCACAATCGCACCCTTTCATACGAATCGATGCGGGTGTGAATGTTAAGTTAATAAGATCGCATAGGTGTGAATACCCATGTGATCCAATTCTACTGCGGACCAAAAAAGAGTCATGCACATTTTTTGGCGTGGGGCGAATAAAGCCATACAAAATCTATGGCTCCAATCGCACCGCATACAAATCGCATGTGATTTGTACAGGAATGAGCTGCGGTTCCTGTGCGAATCACACGGGATTTACCGCACCGCTGTAGTGTGAACCTAGGCTCAAGGTGGAAGTCTTCTTGCTCCTATTATTCACTGGTTAGTTTAGGACCTTTTTATCCAGTACAGGTAATACTGAACACTAATCATAGCGTAGATTATTTTTGTTTACTGTTTCTGATCATATGCAGTCCTTCGCATCCAAATTTTTCTTGTACGAAAACAGTACACATTAAATGAAAATCGTTCATTCTGTTCACATACAAGAAAAAGGTTAGAGATTGTCCCTTTGAACATTTTCGTTTTGGAAAGTCTGAATCAGATGTCGAAAGTTGTGTACACGCTATATGAAAACCGAATGATCATTCCTCATACAAAATTTTTCTTACAATTTTCTCAGTGTGTACCCCACGTCAACTGTATGTGGTGTTATTCACCTTGCTGCACTGTGTGATGGGGTTGTGTACAAATGGTTTGGCAGGCAATACCAACACCCAAGTACTATGTATCTGTATTTTCCACCTTTTGCCTGGAATTCAGCTTTTAACTACGACCATGACCAGTATTAAAAATCCTTCTATGATTGTCTCTATTTTTATTTAAAAAAAAAAAGAGGGAAAGATCACGTATTGGTTGAAATTAATTACATCTATTTATAAGTGAAACAACATCCATGTAACCTGGCACAAAGGCTTGGCTGTTTAGACTGCTTAACATTAAAGAATAAAGAACTTTTTTTTCTGCCCAAATTTCTTACCTCCGTAGAGAATCCTCCTCTGTGCTCTCCTCTGGCAGATCCTGCGGTAAGGCTTCTTGGGATACATTCGGCGCTCTGGTGACTGTAGCAGGCTGACTGTAGACCCGTTCCCAGTGTCCAGTCTCCGGGTTATACACTACACCCACTGTTCTCTCTTCTTGTGATGTTCCAGGTTCCAAACGGGCACTTCCACCTGGCACACTTCCTATATCTGTTCTATCCACCCCTGATGCCCCAGGCTGCTCTGTGCTGCCAGCTGGCAGGTCAGCTTGTAAAGAACTGGGTGAAGGGACTGCTGGGGTTTGCCAGGATGATGTGCCTGCAGCTTCAGGATAAGCTGGTGGTGTCCTTTCCCAGCGCAGCGTGTCATTGTTGAACGTCAGCAGGTTGTGGCAAGCACGGCAGCGATTCAAGTGTCCTCTGGGCTGGTTGGAGCTGCTCTCGCCACTGTGTGCCTGGCTTGGCTGGTGGGAGGTGCCCGGCTGCTCAGGCTCTAGGTTATTATTGAGCATCTCATGAGCCTGTCCCTGTGATGTGCCTGTTGCCCCGGGTTCTAGCTCATGCAGCCTATCATACTCTAGGAAAAAGCGCCTAAGGTCACACTGCAAATCCGTTCGGGTTGAAGTGGGGTGGGCAGGTGGCTGAACTCCTGGGCCCTCTGTGCTCGAAAAAAATCCTCTTCCTTCGGTGGCTGAAGTATATACAGATGAGGAGGACTCTCCTTCCTGTTGGCGCAAGACAGACAAAAAACCTACAGTCGCGGCACTCGTTCTGGGAGGAGGCATGGGTTCCGTTTCAGGCCTGGATCCCATGTTCAGCACAGTGCGAGTCCACTCAGAACCAGCCATTTCTGTTGAAGGCTGTTGGTAGCGGGACAGCTGCCCTGTAAGGGAGCGGCGAGTAGGTCCCAGGCTCAGATTGCGCAGTGTGTTACCGGCTGTACTACTGTGTACACTGCTAAAGGCAGAAGGTCGGCTTAGAAGTCCGTGATCATGCTGGGCAGAGGACTGGTGCTGCTGACGTTCCAGAGAATGCTGGGGGTCGGTCTGTACTGGCGAATAGGAAGTGGAAGTCACCCCTGAAGAAGTAGAGGGAGCACCAGGCGCTTCAGGGTGGGGGAAGAGAGGCGAAGACAGCCGTGCACTAGAGCAACGGATGCAGAGGCACAGCATATTAGGGTCTTGGCAGCATGGAGCACTGACCCCTGGGGCCCGCTCCCGCATGCGAGAATATAAGAGCCTTTGGTTGCTCTCTGTTGTGGGTGGAGGAGGAGGGGGTGGTGGAGGAGGCGGCGAAGGTGTGGCTGAGTCTTGTACAGGAGGCTGCTCTCCAGCTTGTGTGCCAGAGGAGCGGGATGACAGCATGTGCAGGAAGTTGTGGAGCAACGGGGTACGTCGTACCGGCTGAGTCGGTAGCAGCGATCGTTGGCGGTAGATGGGGATCTCCGCGCTGTCCAGGGAAATCTCCGACTCCTCATCACTCTGAAAGAGAACAAAGATCAACAATGGTGTGTGGAGCCCAGCATGTAACCTGCAAATGTGGATGTGACAAGACAAGGAGCAGCTTTTCTGCAGTATGTGATGGCTGCCCTGTGGACACTTTAATTACTTGCTAAGAAGAGCATCATATCGATTCACTCAAGTGCACAGAATCATCCCAGGGAAACTTCTGTTCAATCTGCCTTCCTGATCCCACAAATGGACTTGAAGACATAATCCATGTTAACAACTTGCTAATTAATCCTCTGACTTGCTGACTACTAACAAATAAATACATTTTGCAATAAAATGTGCTCAAATCTAAATGGGATCTGCTCTCTGGTTACAAGCAACCCCTATTCTTCTTGGCCTGTGTGAAGCAGAGGCACAAATTAGTTGCCTCTGCCTTAAATACCAATCAGTGCATCTACACCCCCCCCCCCCCCCCCCCCCCCCCAAAAAGCTGTATATTTAAGGATGAGTGGCAGACAGGACAACTTTAAAGCTGAACTTCTGGAAACCTAAAAAATATCTCTTGCAGCACGGCTGTGCCAGCACGGCACAGGATTAAATACTGCTTCTTATTTGGTAATGCCAGTCTCTTCTCCTCCATGCTTCAGTAGTCTAAGGTCCTTTGACATCATGAAGAATGAATGCAGGGACCACAGTCCTGCGCTGGGCATGAGGACTCTGAAGGACAGTCCACTGCCAGAGCATGGGGAAGTGCCATCTGCCAGGTTAATAAAAGAGAAGGCAAGTAAAGTGCTTCTCGCTGCCCCTAGACAGAAACAAGCTAAATTGTTAGTTTTCCAGAAGTTGGGCTTTAAGATTTACGGTAAGATAAACTTTGACCCTGACTGACAAATTCAAGAGTTTCCAACAAAGTAAAATAAAACTGCTAAATATTCAGATTCAAGAACAAGCCCAAACAAGGCTGTCTTTTTAAACAGAAAATATACTGTGCAAGCTGTGCACAAAAAATAAAGGGATTAAAAGGGGAAAAGTAGTCACTTAATTTGGCATTGTATTCAAGGATTCTGGACACAGGTCATTCAATTCCTTCATGACCATATTGGATCGCCATTGTCGCTGGACCTCAAGCAGTGTCTACTGGGTTTATTCCTTGATCCTGATATAGATCAATCTACACCTATGTTTTCTGCTGAAACCTGGAGCTGTGATGTGAGATTCCGTGGGAGGTTGCCTTGCATCTACTGTTTATCTGGAAGAAGCTGATCCTAATAAATATGCCTTTTTAAATTGAATTGAATGTGAGTGACCTTAATCCTTGATTTCACTTATGAATGGTGTTTTACAATATTACACTATCTGAGATTTTTTTCTCCCTGGTCGGATGGTGGAGCCTATGGTGGAGAGGAGGATTCCTATAGAGTGGATACGAAAGAGGGTGTAGGATCCCATAAAATTCCTAAGAGGCGTTTTTTTCACCTTTATCTGGTGAGTGCATTTGATATTGGTTTTCACGGGTGGAAGGTGGAAGTTCCTCTATATTAGAAGAAGAATTTGAAAATATTTTTTCTTTTTTTCTTTTTCTTTTTTGCACTAATATTTTTTGAACTTTGGTTTATTTTGATGGACTTTACCACTGATCAATTTTTCACTTATGTTTGCACTTTGTAATATTGATTTCATGTAAAGGTCTATGTTTGCGCTGTTTTTTCCTTTTTTTTCATATGTTCTTGTATGAACCACTGTTTGGCACCAGGAAACTGGTGGCTGGGGGATAGATGCAAGCTGTATCTCCCATTCTCTAAGTCTGGATTGCTGAGGTGGATAACATCTTACCTTATATGAAGATTATTTATATCAATCGGGGTTGTCTGAGCAAATACAATAAGATTTGTGAAAGGTAGCTCCAGTCTGCAGTAACATGTACAACATGGGTATCATTGTTGATATATTATATTTGAATGTGCGTCTTCCAACCTTATGTACTGCTACTGGGGCTTTAGCAGAGATGGTCTATTACTGTGCAACTAACTTGGCTATAGCCTATTAGAAAGAATGTGTTGTAAATTTCTGCTCAAATACATAATTGATTCTCACATTACTTGCTGTGTTTTTAGCAACAATGTGTCGGTATCAGTGTTACCGTCTGTAAAACCAGATGTCACCATTTTCACTGTGTACATGGTTTGTATGCGTTTGTTGCATAAACCATATCTATATCGTGCCTAAAGCATCAATAAAACCTCTACTTTTGATTAAAAAAAAAAAAAAAAAAAAGAAGAAAAAAAAAAAAAAAAAAGAGGGGGGGGGGTGAGAAGGATTAATCATATTGCCTGTAAGCTCCTTGCAGCTTATCTTTCCCCATTACTGACTTACCATGTCTTGTTCTGCATGTCTCTGTGTGGAATCCATCATCTTGGTAAAAGAGCAGACTTTGGATCCCCATATCAAAGCTGCTCCATTGGTGACTGGTGGGGGAATGATCACTAAAGAGCAACAGAGGTGGAGGAAGCACAGATCCGCAGAATGAATGAAGCCGAAGTAGGAAGATACATGCACTGCAGGTCCTTAGATACATCTTCCACTCCAGCAAGGAGAGTAGCAGAGTAGTGGTATCACCATTATCAACTAGTAGTTAGAAACAACAGTGTTTTATATTATTTCACACTGCTGATGATTTCACACATTTTGTCTGGAATTCCTGTAACCTCAGAAGTGTATATTTTTCAGGGTATTGCTTGTGGCACAATTAACATTTCCAAACTTTTCCTAGAAGATAAATCTTAACTTTTGGAGCTCAGGCCCACTTTAAGCATCTGCCTAGACCAAGCTGTAGTATAGGAGGTACTGCTCTTGAATATACTGCCTGCCATACAAATCCCCAGGGAAGAATGTACTTTGTGCTCCTGTTTAGAAGGGTTATTTTAACTGAGTTAATGACTTCATGACACAGAACATAAATCTTTTATCAATACTGCAAACAAGCAGCTCACAAAATCTGAAAACTCTTTGCAGTAAATGTAATAAAACATTTCTATGGAGAAACCCTTGCCATTTACATTAGGTAAGAGACTTATCTGTGGGATTACATTTACATATGAGTTATATTTATGGTCTTACCTGCTGGTTAGACGGGTTTACAATAGCAGTAAGAAGATAATGCCCAAGGGGATCAAATCGTACCAATCTGCAGGAGATAAACACAAGAGCATTAGAAACAAATGATCCAGCCAGTTATTTCTTGTTGGTTTAACATATTTGCACTCTGTAAAGTATTTCATATAAAATATTATTACAAACAGAAAAAACCTACTCGTCTGTCAATGTAATGCGCATCTTTGCCTTTGCTGAACTCAAAGTGTATCTTTAGTCAAAAAGTTTGATTTTTTTTTGGCTAGAACCCCTGCCAGGTCTTTCTTAATGTATGTGTCTCTGCTGAGAAGGTTCACCCTTTCTAACTGCGCTGGTGACCACCATCAAGGAAATAAGAAATAAACATTTAACTTTTGGCACTAGAACAGGATGCGAGTGGAGGCCTTTCAGTGGGACATGTTTTGACGAGAATTGCTTTTGTAGAGACTTCCCATTTCTGTTCCAGCTGTATTTTACCAAATGTATAAAAAAAAAAAAATTGGATCGCGACCATAAAGTTGTACAATTCATTTAAAGCCCTTTCAGCAAGTCTTGCAGTCGTACAGGATACTCTCCTGTACTAAAAACTTGCTTAATCCGATCTTACTGTACACTGTGATCTTCTGACATTAGAAGCTGCAGCAAGTCAGACTAGTTAATGCTGGACATCCTATAGCTAAGAAATTAGGTAGTGTATTAACTGATTATTGCAAATCACAACAGCAGCCTTGGGTGACAACACTGCTCCTCCGTAAACCATCAATGTTGTGCTACAAAACACAAACATTCTGAGTTGCACCAAAATAAACACCTAGTGACAAAAAAATCATTAATATAATGTCCATAGGAGACCAAAAAAAAAAAAAAATAATTCTGTCAACCCAAAATTCAAAATAAAATTAAAACTAGAAAGAGTCCCCTCTAAATGCCAGTTTTAACCACGTTGCGCATTTAAAAGATAACTACTATTTTTATTTTGAGTTTTGGTTGAAGGATAATTAATTTTTTTTAATTTCTGGAGGGACATTTATTTATTTCAGATACTTATATAGTGCCGTCAATTTACGCAGCGCTTTACATATATTGTACAATCAGATCAGTCCCTAACCCTCAAGGGGAGTACAATCTAAGGTATTACTATTATAAAATGATTTTTTTTTGTCAATAGGCGTTTGTTTTGGTGCAACTATTTTTGTATTTTGTAGCGCAACACTGATTTAAGGCACAATATATGAGAGGATATCTTCTTTTGCGTTTGCAGCTTATTACTATTCTGTGCAAATTTTTGTGCAATTTACAGACTGTGTTGTGTAACTGCTCCTCCATAGACACAGTGCAGTGAGAGTTGTCACCATAGGACAGGAAATGGATCACCATGTGAAAACAGGAGGATAAAAAAGCATTTTTTTGTTGTGTTTTGCTAGTTCACATGTTGAGAATAAAAAGGGTGAAACACGTTACACCTTCCCCACCGTCCCTGGTGTTTGCTGCACTTACCACCATGGGCAAAGGGCTAACAACGCCCACTTAGCTGGTGTAGCGGTCCCCACTCTTCCCTTTTTTTCCTGCAGGTCTTCTGAAACAGATGAGAACAATTCTGATTGGTCAGAGAACTGATGCTGACCAATCAAAAATTGCTTTGATCTGCCATGGAAGCCCTTCAGAAAGAAAGGGGGAAAAAAAAAAAAAGAAGAAGAGCAGAGATTTCAGATCCCTGGATTGCTACACCAGCTGCATGGGCATCACAACTAATGACACACAGAAGTACAGCAGGGACCAGGGGTGTTCCCAGTATAAGAGGTTTCACCTTCTCTTCCGAAAAGAGTAACACTTTAAGAGAGAAGATTCTTACAAATGGCCAGAACTAGTTCTGCAAGGAAATGACTGGTTCGGTTTAATCCAATGCAGCATTAGTACATATAACGAACGTCATTCCTCAACACAGTTACTGATCAAAGAAAAGCAGGATTAAAAAGTACAAATAAAGGCTCCTGCATGACAATCTAAACAGGTAGCAAAACCTGTTACTATATGATGCGCAAGCCCCAAAATGTGAAAACAACAAACACCCTTTAGCTTCACTTACTGGGCTAAATCCTCCATTGCATCTCACATGCTCCCCTACCCAGACACTGCAGCTCACACTAAGCGTTTCAGCAGGAGAGGCGATGCTCTTAATCCAGACAGCAGTAGACAAGACCAGGTGTGGCCAGGTGCCGATTAACAAACCAAAGACGTGTGAATCCGCAATGTCGATGCTAACTGCCATGCAACATTTTTTTAAATCCACTCTTGTGCCAGCAGGCACAGCCTACCTGAGAGTGACAACTCTGAATTCAACAGTAGTGCAGCGTCGTTGCCACACCATGGCAGGAAGCGGCATTAGGGTGGACTTGACTGACAGAATCAACAGGCATTTGTGGGTCTTTGCAGCTTCTTTAAGGGCCTTAATTTGGACATGGGATTCCTCAATCAATAGCCAACATTTTTATGACTCTGAGTGTTGTTCTCCCCCCCCCCAGTCTTTGCTTTTGCTTTGCTGTAGCTTATCTCTAGTCTAACCCTAGGCTTGTGTTTCTTTCTGCTTTCTCATCCCCACATCTCTTCTAACATTCTGCTAAAACTTTGTAATAGTACTGCTTGGACCTTGAAGACGGGGACACTCCCCGAAAAGCTTGTCCTCAAATTTGTAGGTTAGTGCAAATAAAAAACAGTATCACGGACAGTACTCAATTGGGTCTTTGCAGGAAGCCCAAGTAAAAATTGTCAGTGCAAAAGGACTTCTAATTAAGTGTTGGAGCATAAATGTATTTTATTTTTTTTTTTAATTGAAGTCCAAATATATAAATTTAAATCCCTGGTTGATTCTATATCCTCTGAGTGTAGCTATCCAAATAGTGCGATATTGCACAGCACCCTTGATTCCTGACAATAATTATACCACAGACACAATGAGGCCATTCTTCCAAAAGTGACAACCCAGAATATGTGACAGCATCTGGTGACATTTAATAAAGTGATCTGCCTTACAGTCGGTATGAATACAGAAAACAAGCCAAAAAGGCGGCACAATGAAAGATCCATGCTGTGACAAGCTGCAAAGAAATGGGGACAAATGAAATACACCTGCATCATGTGGAAGCAAAGTATAAAGCACAGGCATGGACCGCAAGCCTAAATTTAGTGCATTACCTCCTCTCTATCAGGAACAAATACATGAAAGACACAAAATTCAAGAGAACAGAAACTTTGCTTGTTAACATTAAAGTGTCTCATTGTTTATAAAAGTCACCGTCACGTGACACAAAGTAATAATCTGTAAAGTGCTGCGCAAGCTGTTGGCGCTACAAAAATCCTGTATATTATAAATAATAAAAAAGTATATATAAAGCTAAAGATTTGGCTAGAACATGAAAGGTTTAATATATCTCTGTTATTTTGCTGTGTCCCAATGGGGAGATTTACCTTCACTGCCTCTCGTGGTGAGAATCCTCTTAGATACCATAACAACTGCCCCCATTGAAAGATTTCTATTTTATTCTTCTTCTGACAACTCAAAATTTTGATATTTCATTGCAAATTGCAATGGGATAAACGGAGGGTGAATCTGATCGAACAGAAACACAAACAGCAACAGAGAATTGACCGTTTCTAACCCTTCCCAACATTTTTAAGGAGCAAGTTCACCAAAAATGACAACCCCAAACATCCTGGCCACCCCTTAGGACATAGCCGCCGTGATGTCCCATGCTGCCGGTGTAGTACACAGGCCCAAAGTGAGGATCCATGATGATGCTCGCATTGGCACGCACTCTCGTCAGCATAACTACATTAATGTGTTGACCAATGAGAAGTGTACCTGAGGCTGTGTTGTCCGGCAAAGTGTCCCAAAAGAAGGAAGCACTTCCCACTGATGAGAGCTTGCCACTGCAAGCAATATGATGGATGGTCACTCCAGCGCAGTGTTTTCCAGCGTACGGACTGCTACAATGGCAGCACTGGGCATCACAGCTGCTATTTGCAGCAAGTCCGGATGGGTGGCTAGGATATTTGGAGATGGTTTGCCTGTTCATTTTTTGTAAAAAGGTGAACTTAACCTTTAAAATGGTTGTAAACCAAGACATAAAATATCAACAAAGCATATCCCTCTATAATGTGTACTTATCTACATTAGGAGTACCAAGTGTAATTTCTGTCTGCTGCCTCCTTCCTCTGCTATCAGCATGAATCACTTCTGACAAGTTTTCCTGACACCAAGAGAAAAAAAGGTGACGGGGAGGGAACTCGAGCAGATTGACAGCCTTAGCTCTGTTCCTGTGAGCTGTGTGGAGGGGGGTGCGTCTCTTCCCTCTAATCAGCTCTCACTGAGCTCTGCAGAGTGTAACTTCAGCTCTCTTCTCCCTTTTGTTCTGAACCCTCAAACAAGCTATATAAATTCTGAACTTTTAACAGATGTAGAGAAGACTGCAGACATACTGGTACAACTTATGTAGGACGATTCGTTTCGGGCAGCACAGTGGCTAAATGGTTAGCACTTCTGCCTGACAGTACTAGGATCGTCAGTTCAAATCCCAACCATGGCACCACCTGCCTGGAGTTTGCATGTTCTCCCTGTGCCTGTGTAAGTTTCTTCCGGGTACTCCGGTTTTCTCCCACACTCCAAAGACATGCTGGTCGGTTTATTGGATTCTGTCTAAATTGGCCCTAGTATGTGTATATACATATATATGTATGTGTATATGAATGTGTGTACACCCCTTGAGGGTTAGGGACTGATGTGGATGTACAATATATGTAAAGCACTGCATAAATTGATGGTGCTATATAAGTACCTGTAATAAATACATAAATAATCTCTGTGTATCACTTAAGGCCAGTCACTTCCCTGGGTATATGCAAGTGTTAACCACTTGCAAACTAAAAATAAATTTTTGCTTTAGATACACTTCAACTCCTTCCCCCAGAAGGTCACAACTGGTCAAATATGAAGACAAAAATTTCCTAAGATGCAGCAACTAAATACTGTACCTAACCCCATATAGGTCAAACACAGCTTAATAGCCTTTTGAAAAACATGCGTTTTCCAAATACATTTTATTTATTACTCGTAACTTCATCCTTGCAAGTTAGTTTCACGTAACTGTGATCCTTTAAAACCTTTTCGAAATGACACAGATTAAACTATATTGAAGAAATATGCTCAACAGCAAATCTATAAAAATTCAATAAAACATGTTGCTAATTTTACACTCCTTTAAAATTTGGCAATACATCTTTCCCTCCTACATTTCAGTAAAAAGTAACTGTTCCCAGATCGCTGTGGGTTTATGTGCTGTGTAGTAAATTTCATTTCTCATGAGCCTCAGTTAGTACTGACACGAGTCCAAGTTGCTGGGTTTCATTAACTGCTCTTTTTCATGGCTTAAGTTTCTAATATTACACTGCAAATTGACAAAGGGTGGGGCAGATAGATTATTTCTGTGTCAAATTGGTCAAATACAAGAAACGCTATTAAAGGGTTTGAAAGCATTTCATTAGTGCTCACCCGAAGTTCTAAACACGGTTGTGACATGTATTTGCAATCCAATTTAGAAGCAAAGCAGTGACTTAGGAAAAAAAAAGCATCAGGCGTGCTCGAGTCCTTTTCACAAACCTTTGACAGAGTTAATAAAGAACGCAGTGTTTGAATCCAAAAGGCAGCACGCTCTTTTGATGGCAGAGGCGAGCGCCAATGGCTGGAGGTACGGATGTAACTTCCTCCCCTCTGTTCTCCAAACCACACAGATGGCAGCAGTCCCCGGCTCCCTGATTGCACCATAGAGCCCAAGAACAGCCCATTGCTGGCCGAACTTTTGATACTGGGACCATGGCTGCAGCTGTACACCTTCAAACTGAGGATATACAGTTACGTCCTAAGGGCATGAAGTGGTTAAAGTGGAGTTCCACTCATCCTACAAAAACTGTAGCTGCTGACTTTTAAAAAACAGCCACTTACCTGTCACTCGGTCCCACGGTGTGTCCCCCGCAGCCCATTTCACCGGCCGTCCTGTATTCCAGGAGGCCGGCATCTTCAGTGTGGGCACCCGGCTGTGATAGCTTGCGGCTTCACAGCCATGTACCCACTGCGCATGCGCGAGTAGCGCTGCGCTTTCTGAATGGTCCTGTAGTCATCGGGGACCTGTCACATGTCCCAAAAGACTACAAGGAGGGAGGACACCTTCCATTTTCGATCCCCTAGGCGATCGGACAGGAAGTGGGAGTGGGTACCTGTCAAATTCGGGTACCCCCCCCCAAAGGGTGCCAATCCTTAAATGGGGAGCAGACCGTTTTGGGTGGAGCTCCGCTTTAAGGACCCAATGGATAAGTGTTTAGAAGCCCTCTAAGAGAACCATGTTCTTGTTGGCAGGCCCTGCACTTCACCCCATCTTGACCAACTTTACTGTGCCAAACAATGGCTGACTGATCAGAATGCCTTGAGAGACCTCACCACTGGCATAGCTAATCCCTTGATTATAGGCCCACCCATTTGTTTTAACCGCTAGCCTACAGGACACTTATACCCCCTTCCTGCCCAGGCCAATTTCCAGCTTTCAGCACTGTTGCACTTTGAATGACAATTGCGCAGTCATACAAAATTGTACCCATATGAAATTTTTATCATTTTTTTGTGACAGATAGAGCTTTATTTTGGTGGTATTTAATCACCTCTGGGTTTTTTATTTTTTCTTAAACCAAAAACCACTGAAAATTTTGGGGGAAAAAAAACACGTTTCTTAGTTTTTGTTATAAAATTTTGCAAATAAGTTATTTTTCTCCTTCACTGAAAGGTGCTAATGAGGCTGCAGTGGTGGGCACTGATAGGCTGCACTGATGGACACTGATAGTTGGCACTGATGAGCATTGACAGGCATCACTGATGGGCACTGAAAGGCGGCACTGATGGGTGACACTGAAAGGCAGCTCACATGGGCACTGATATGTGGCATTAATGTGCAATGCTAGGCACTGGCACGAGGCACTGATACAAGGCAAATTACGGACACTGACAGGTGGCACTGCTGGGGCTACACTGATCATCAGGGCACACTGATCATCAGTGCCCTGATGACCATTGTACATGTCCCCTCCGCGGAAAGCTCATTACCGGCTCTCCTCTCGAGCTGTCAGCGTGACAGCTCGAGAGGAGAGAAATGTTTACATGTGATGAGCTGTGATTGGACACAGTTGATCACATGACCGAGCCAACATCTTTGGCTCTTTCCGTGATCCGCTGTGTCCGAGGGACACAGCGCACCGCCGATCACCGCACATGCGCGGTGAGAATGGGAGGATGTCATATGACGTCCTCCCAGAACAAGAGAACCACCTTGCGCCCGTCATTGGACAATATGGCGGAAGGGAGGTGGTTAATGATCAGTACTGCTTTGCTACAAATCTGAAGCATGCTGGCAAGTAGGAGAGATTATCCAGGGCTAGCCAACAGTTTTGCTTGCAGTGTCCAAACTTCCTGCAAACGGCAGTATAAAAAGGTGAAATAATTCCCCATGTCCCTCAGTGAGTACAAAAATCCTATTTTAAATACTGCTTATAAAATGTATCTGAAATCTGTGTTTGCATTATGTTGGATCCCACATTTCTAAGCAGGTGTTTCCTATATCATAAAAATCTTAAACTAGCCGCAGAAGTTACAATCATTTGATATTTCTAAAATGTATTCAAACCATGTCAAATCACACAGCCAGCCGTGACATGCTAGATATGATTTAAAATAATGTAATATGATCTAAGAACGGAGTACATCTAAAAATATACAAAGATTACGACACGGAGAAAAGCACAGAACAATGTACGACTACAAAACAAACACATTAGAATTACAAAAAATATGAACATTTTCCAGCCCTTCCATTTGTAATAGATACTTGTAGTTGTACTGTGTTCTACACGTGGAAATACTTCGCTCAGATGGACCTAGCAGAGCACTTAATATGCAGGCTGTGATGTGTGGGTACGTTTAAAACCTGTACTACAAGCAGATATAAAAGATAACTATTTCTAGCTCTATCTTAATAAATATATCATTGAATGTATTTTTAGGCGACGAATGCAAGTTCCTAAATTTGACTTGTTAACCACCTGCAATCCACTGCAAAGCAGCACTAACACAGGGATAGGGAGGAACAGAACCGGAAGTCAAATCACTTGTGTTGCAAGCCATCGCCTAAGAAAAACAGTGAGAGCAGAAAAGAGCAGAGAGATGGCCTTATAAGTCTTCCAGGAATCTTTTACTGTTCACACAGCAAGCTTGGGATGTGGGAAGCGATAGCCATACCAAGAATGAAGTATTCACTCTACAGTTGAAAATCATAACACTTGGCTGTGCTGCCTGGCATGGATGTGTTAATCTGGAGACTGGATGGCCAGAAATACAAATTCCTTGGCAAAATAGCCTATATTTCACATGTAATGTGTACCTACAGTAGCTGTATCTGCAGTTCAGACATTTTCCAGGAGCATACGCAACAAAGAAAAAAAAAAAAAATGGACTTATTAAAAATGTAAATAGTAGCATGAACACCCAAATTCCACAGAGAACCATAAAAAGAGGATTGGACAAAGTCACAGGCAATGTATGTTATACTACACAATCGGATCTCTTGGCAAAAGAAACTTACCGCACACGTTCCATCTCACTGGCCGTCTTCACTACAGCAAAGGGTTCTCGCCGACTCCAATCCCAAAAATGGATTTCATTGGCAGTGGCGATGAGCAGCAGCTGAACTGTGGGGTGGAAGGCCAGGGATGCAATGGCGTTGTTACTATCTGTGAACCAGCTCTCACTGCCGCCCTGAAGGCAATAAAATGAAAAAAAAAAAAAAAAAAAAACGACAACTTAATTAGTGACAGAACTCCAGAAAGCATGTAAACCGTAAAAATTAGCATTATTTGCTACGTTTTAGTCAGTTAAATGTATAATTGGAAGCATTTTGTTATTTCTGTTAAATGCAAAAATAAATTTATCTTTGTTTAGCTTATCTCAGAAATTCAGAGCGGTCCTCTGTCCTCGTCAGACATCATGCATTACCTCAAAGGCGCTATTTAGTCTACCCATTACTCATCTTGGGCTACAAAATAATTAGCCTTTATGTTGTAGAGGTCTAGAAGTGGGAGTGGTTGAGTAGCTTAGCAAAAGATAGTGGGAGGGCTGACAACACACATTCCAGAGAAAATGTTTGCGTGTCATCAGCCAACAACAAGATCTAGGATTTGAGTGCATTTCTGGTAGATCAACCCTGTATTTGCAGGGTCTTTAACCACAAGCCTACAGGGCACTTATAACCCCTTCCTGCCCAGGCCAATTTCCAGCTTTCAGAGCTTTTACACTTTGAATGACAATTGCCCAGTCCTGCAACACTGTACCCATATGAAATTGTTATTTTTTTTTTGTGACAGATATAGCTTTATTTTGGTGGTAATCAACTCTGGGTTTTTTATTTTTTCTTAAACCAAAAATTTTGAAAAATAAATGTTCTTAGTTTTTGTTATAAAGTTTTGTAAATAAGTGATTTTTCTCCTTCACTGATGTACGCTAATGAGGCTGCACTGATGGGTACTGATAGGATGCACTGGTAGGTGGCACTGATGGGCACTGACAGGCGGCACCGATAGTGGGCACTGACTGGCATTGATAGGTGGCACTGACAGGTGGCACTGAAAGGCAGCTCAGATAGGCACTGATATGTGGCATTGATGTGCACTGGTAGGCACTGCTTTGTGGCATTGATGGGCACTGGCACTGATAAGCATTGACAGGTGGCACTGCTGGGGCTACACTGATCATCAGTACTCTGATGATCAGCGTACATGTCCCCTCCACGGAATGCTGATTACCGGCTCTCTTCTCGAGCTGTCAGCATGACAACTTGAGAGGAGAGAAATGCATTTAAACCAGCATTTCCCTGTTTACATGTGATCAGCTGTGATTTGACACAGCTGATCACATGACCGAGCCGACATCTTCGGTTATTTCCGTGGATCGGTGATCCGCTGTGTCCGAGGGACACAGCGCACCCCCCCGATCGCCACGCTGTGCGCTCCTGGAGCCGCACATGCGCGGTTAAAATGGGGGGACGTCATATGACGTCCTCCCAGAACGAGAGAACCACCTTGCCTCCGTCATATTACTATATGGCAGACGGGAGGTGGTTAAAAAGATACAACATGGGGAAATGTACATTAGTGCAGAGATTTACTTTTTTGCCTTCTCATACACTTTCAGCAAATATTCCTAGATTGTAAACTCGAAAGAGCAGGGCCCTCAATCCCCCCATGTTTTGCATTGTATTGGTATTGTTCTGTCACATGTTCTGTCCCCCTTTGTAATGTACAGCGCTGAGCGAACTATCGGCGCTTTATAAATACTGTATAATAATAATAATGTAGCTTAGCCCAGCACTACACTTTGTGCACAATTATTAGGCAAGTATTTTGACCAAATCATCATTTTTATGCATATTCCCCAAGCTGTATAAACTTGAATGCTTATTGGAATAAGGCATATCAGGTGATGAATAACTATTAGACAGCTTCTTTTTCTCAGGCAAAATGGGCCAAAAAAGAGATTTAACTGACAGACTTTTTGCAATTTGTGACTTTTCACAGAGGGATGCAGCATTCTTGAAAATGGTAAGACATTGGGGTGTGATCACAGAACCATCAAATGTTTTGCTGCAAATAATCAACAGGATCGCACAAAATGTGTGGAGAAAAAAAAAAAAAAAGATGCAAAGTAATTGGCAAAGATTTGAAAAGAATCAAACGTGAAGCTACCAGGAACCCATTATCCTCCAGTGCTGTCATATTCCAGAACTGCAACCTACCTGGAGTGCTCAGAAGTACAAGGTGTTCAGTGCTGAGAGACATGGCCAAGGTAAAGAAGGCTGAAACCCGAACACCACTGAACAAGACCAGTTGAAACGTCAAGACTGGGCCGAGAAAGATCTGAAGACAGATTTTTTCAAAGATTTTATGGACTGATGAGATGAAAGTGACTCGACACACCAGATGATTGGGACTGTGGCTAAATCAGAAACAGGCACAGAGCTCCACTTCATCTTCAACCCACCCCTGCTGGTGTGTGAGTTGGACTCCAAATCAACTCCTAAACTTACTGCCAATTTGTAGAAGACAGTTTCTTCAAGCAGTGGTACAGGAAAAAACTATATCTTTCAAGACCACCATGCTATTTATGCAGGACAATGCTCCATCACATGCAAAGTACTCTATTTTTAAGGCCTTTATTAGCTAGCCACAAAGTAATGACATGGCCCCCTTCCAGACCTAAATCCTATTGAGAACTTGTGGGCCCTTAAACGGGAGATTTATGAGGAAGGAAACCAGTAGACCTCTCTAAACCGTGTCTGGGAGGCTGTGGTTGCTGCTGCACAAAAAGTTGATCGTCAGCAGACCAAGAAACAGACTGTGTGAATGGAAGGCTTATGACTGTTAGGGCTTGTTCACACTTTTCTAAATTTCTAACTCTTCAAGAACACCCCTGTAGTGTTAGTGTGGGCGTTAGACGTTAATGAGCTTTAGTATGGGTGTTTTACAAGCATTAAAAATGCTCCCCAAACGTCTTAGGTGTGGTTTTGAGGAGTTTTACAAGTATTTTACAAGCGTTAAAACCGCACCACAAACACCTATAATAAACTCTAATGGTATTAACGTGCCGCAACTGCACTGTAAACGCCTGCAAGCGCCTTTGTGGAGCGTCACCATAGACTTGAATAGGAGGCGTTGAAAGGCTCCAAAGTCCTCCAGACTCGACATGAGGCTTTAATTTTGAAGCGACACTAACGCTTCATGTTTGGATAACGTGAACAGCACTCTGTGCTGTCCATAGTATCATTTGCATATGCGTTTGAGGAGTGTTAAAAATGCCCCTTAAAAGCCTGCTTTCAATGCCAGTGTGAACTAGGCCTTATTGAAAAGAAGGGTGGCTATAATGGTCACCAATTTGTTTTTGTATTTTTTGTTTTTTTTTTTTTTAAATGTCAGAAATGTTTATTTGTAAATTTTGAGTTACTCAATTTAACAGATGAAAATAAACATGTGAGATGGGAAAATGTTCAGTTTTTCATTTAGTTGCATAATTGTTCACACTAATAGTTGCCCAATAATTGTACACACATAGATCTTGTCCAAAGAAAGCCAAAACCTCACTTTTACAAATATTCAGGTTTGAGGTTTATTAACATTTTAGATTGACCGAGAACACTGTAGTTGTTCAATAATGAAATGAATCCTCAAAAATACAACTTATAACTGCACTCACTGTGTACTCCTATAAACCTATTAACCAGTGGAAGAATTGCCCATATCTTTTCAGACATTCCATTTTTATTTATTATTTTTTTACTTTGGTTACAAAAAAGAGATCAATCTGCAGACTCACAGGAAAGTCTCTTGTTAGCAAAGTGTCCTAATGTAAGAACAACACTAGGCCAGAGACTATTTGGCTCTACTTGAATCCTAATAAAACATCACCTGCAGCAGTAGGGACGACACACTAAAAGTAAAACATGAACAACTCAAGTCAGTGGAAACTCAACCAGAACACACCTAAAGGAATTAGACCCAACTTCAGCCAGGCCATATACATTGAAATATCTACATCTTCTAAATCAGCAAATAATCTGTAAACAATCTCAATGACTGGTGTAGCTGCAGGCACTATGCAACAATGCAATTGCAAAATTCACAGCAGAAACACTGAAGTCCTTCCATTACCCTACTAAGCCCCCTAGCAGTTCAGCTCCTCCTTCCCATCCATGGCTCCACCTGCCCCCCACACCTAGCAGTAACTTTGCAGCCTCCTACCCTACTAGAACTCAAATGTAAAAACAAAGCAGGTACTCAGGAAAGCAAGGGGAGCCGAGCTGCTTAGAAAAGCAACTTGACTTCAGTGCTTTTGTTTGAAAAATGTAAAAGGACAATTTGCTCCACAATGCTTAAGGCTACAAAGGTCAATGAAGGCTTATTTTAAAGCTCATTTTCTGCTTGTTAGGAATGAACTTGAAAGCGATAGTAAATGATGCTAAAAAAAAAAAAAAAAAAAAAAAAAAAAAACCCCAAAGTTTTCCCCTGCAAGACAAAGGCATAATGTGCTAGTATGCATCACATACTAGAATATGTGAAACTTACCTGTAGGTACAAGTTAACAGACTATACTACAACTAAGGTGCTTGTAAACCTTAGACATGAAATATGTCTCTATAGTGTGTACATGTGTCATTTCTGTCTGCTGCCTTGTTACACTGCTCTAAGTATGAATCACTTCTGACGAGCTTCTCTGACACTAAAAAAAACTTGTGACAGGGGAGGGAACAGTTTGTGACTGACAGCATTAGATCAGTTCCTGGGGGGGGGGGGGGTTTGGTCAATCAGCTCTCAGAACTATTCTCACTGATGTAACTTCAGCTCTCTGCCCCCTGCTTTTCAAACAGAGATCCTGTGTAAATTCTGCACTTTGAACGGATGTAGGGGGATGATGGCTGTATATAAACAGGTACCACTTATGAAGGAGGATTTTTTTCATCTCCGAGTATCACCTGAGGATAGTCACTTCACTAGGTATAGGTAAGGGTTTACAACCACTTTAAATGATCAAAACCAGGCCAAAGGTTCACTTCAAATATGAAATATAGAAAAAGATAAGAAGCCCAACGATTTGGGTGAAGGAGCAGATACGTAGATGGGATTGTGGGATGGAGAAAGCTCAGGGTTGGTATCAGTAGTGCGGGATGGAGAAAGCTCAGGGTTGGTATCATTAGTGCGGGATGGAGAAAGCTCAGGGTTGGCATCAGTAATGTGGGGATGGAGAAAGCTCAGGGTTGGCATCAGTAGTGCAGGATGGAGAAAGCTCAGGGTTGGTATCAGTAGTGCGGGATGGAGAAAGCTCAGGGTTGGTATCAGTAGTGCGGGATGGAGAAAGCTCAGGGTTGGTATCAGTAGTGCGGGATGGAGAAAGCTCAGGGTTGGTATCAGTAGTGCGGGATGGAGAAAGCTCAGGGTTGGTATCAGTAGTGCGGGATGGAGAAAGCTCAGGGTTGGTATCAGTAATGTGGGGATGGAGAAAGCTCAGGGTTGGCATCAGCAGTGCGGGATGGAGAAAGCTCAGGGTTGGCATCAGTAGTGCGGGATGGAGAAAGCTCAGGGTTGGTATCAGTAGTGCGGGATGGAGAAAGCTCAGGGTTGGTATCAGTAGTGCGGGATGGAGAAAGCTCAGGGTTGGCATCAGTAGTGCGGGATGGAGAAAGCTCAGGGTTGGCATCAGTAGTGCGGGATGGAGAAAGCTCAGGGTTGGTATCAGTAGTGCGGGATGGAGAAAGCTCAGGGTTGGTATCAGTAGTGCGGGATGGAGAAAGCTCAGGGTTGGTATCAGTAGTGCGGGATGGAGAAAGCTCAGGGTTGGTATCAGTAGTGCGGGATGGAGAAAGCTCAGGGTTGGTATCAGTAGTGCGGGATGGAGAAAGCTCAGGGTTGGTATCAGTAGTGCGGGATGGAGAAAGCTCAGGGTTGGTATCAGTAGTGCGGGATGGAGAAAGCTCAGGGTTGGTATCAGTAGTGCGGGATGGAGAAAGCTCAGGGTTGGTATCAGTAATGGGATTGGCTGAGCGAGAACCCGGAAGTTACAAACTTTGGAACCGGAAGTCACGCGGAACTGTCCTAGAGAGAGGACCGACCGTGGTGAGAGCGTTGTGCAGTCTTCCCTCTCTGACATTACCATCACATGAGGATATATAGGTCTTTTGGCTTGTTTTATACCATGTGTTTGTGAGTTTCTCTGAGCAGAGATTAAATGGTTTTAAATGGTACTGCACCATGTCAGGTCTCTATTTCTTCTCTTTTATATGATATGGAGAGTCATTATCGGAGGCAATCTTGGTGTGCTGGAACCATTCTGAGGAAGAATCGATACATATGACAGAACATCTTTCTCTGGAAGAATTTATATTAAAACAAAAGCGTATTTGCCAACCATGAGAGTGGGAGGCAAATACATTTGGCGAGTGCACACCTGAAGGGGGTGCACGGCACTTTTTGGAGATTTTTATTGACAGTCACGTGGTGATATTTCTTGGGCAATTCAACTCACATTGTGATTGCAAAAGGACTTTTCACTTAAGGACTATTTATGGACTTTGTTATTTATCACATTATTTACAGAGCGCTGCACATATATTTTGTTATTAGAGAATATGATTTGTTTATCATAGTAATGTGATCATGTTCACCAGCGGTCCAAATGGAAAGGTGGATTTACAGGCTCTTGAATCTGTTGTCAGCCTCCTAGGCATATAGCAGAGCAGGGTTGGATTGACCACAAGAGTGTCTGCACTACTTTAACCGCTAGCCTACAGGGCACTTATACCCCCTTCCTGCCCACGCCAATTTCTAGCTTTCAGTTTGAATGACAATTGCGCGGTCAAACACTGTACCCATATGAAATTTAAAACTTTTTTTGTGACAGAGAGCTGTCTTTTGGTGGAATTTAATCACCTCTGGGTTTTTTATTTTTTCTTAAAACAAACCAAAAACCACTGAAAATTTTGAAAAAAAAATGTTTCTTAGTTTTTGTTATAAAATTTTGTAAATAAGTGATTTTTCTCCTTCACTGATGTGCGCCAATGAGGGTGCACTGATGGGCACTGGTAGGTGGCACTGGTAGGTAGCACTGATGTGTATTGACAGGCATCACTGATTGGCAATGAAAGGCAGCACTGATAGGTGGCACTGACTGGCACTGATGGGTGACACTGAAAGGCAGCTCAGATGGGCACTGATGTGGCATTGATGTGCACTGGCATGAGGCACTGATGAGCACTGACATAATTGCTCTGATGGACACTGGCACGAGGCACTGATGAGCACTGACAGGTGGCACTGCTGGGGCTACACTGATCATCAGTGCCCTGATAATCAGTGTACATGTCCCCTCCGCGGAAAGCCGATTACTGGCTCTCCTCTCGAGCTGTCAGCGTGACAGCTCGAGAGAAGAGAAATGCCGATAACCGGCATTTCCCTATTTACATGTGATCAGATGCGATTGGACACAGCTGATCACATGACGGAGCCGACATCTTCGGCTCTTTCCGTGATCGGTGATCCGCTGTAACCGAGGGACAACGCGTACCGCCGATCGCTGCACTGCGTGCTCCCTGAGCCACGCATGCGCAGTGAGAATGGGAGGACGTCATATGACATCCTCCCAGAACGAGAGAACCGCCTTGCGCCCGTCATATTACTATATGGTGGGCGGGAGGTGGTTGAAAATCTTTTGGATGAATAAACAGTCCTTGTGATGTGAACAGACATGGATAATCATCAAGCCTATCATTTTTTTTTAAAACACACTTACATGTAAATCCCATATTCGCACTTCCCCATCAAGGCAACCAGATGCAATGAGGCCTGGGATGGTAGGGTGAAAGGTTACACACCATGGAGTACGACGATGTCCCACAAGAGAATGTATACAGCGCCCAGTCTTCACTTCCGTAATGTAAATGTTGTGGTTGACGTGTGTGGATGCCAACAGGGTCCTAGAGGTGACAAGAGTTTTAGAAGATACAACAAAAATTAATTGACAATACTGACAGCAAGACCAATGCCTCAAGGTGTAGCCCAAATCATCCTTAACATAGATCTCCTGCCACACATTTTTTTTTTGTGTTTGGAAGGAGAAAAGGGTTTTTACTGCTGAGAGTTTCTGTTGGGAGAATTTCCCTCACTTCCTGTCCCCGCGACAATGGTAGTCACCAGGACAGGAGATCACAACAGTGAAAAAACCTAAAATATGAAACTTTTGAGCTGCTATGCCTCTGGTCTTGTCACATCCCTTCTGTAGTTCTTTCTCCAGGAAGCAGGGATGTAATTCAGCCCCACTTGCAGTGGTGGACGGACCAAGACTCTCAGACACATTCAACATGTACAGGCCTAGTGTACCCACTCACATTCACTACAATTCCCTGTGGTTGATGGGAACTGTAGTTTCTTTCACTGCAGAGAGAGGAAAGGGGAGGACATGATGTAATCCATGCTTACACCTCGTCCTTGGCAAAAGAGGAAGCTTTTATCTTTAGAATTACAGAGATGAGGTAATGAAAATTCAATTAGACTTTTCTCCTAAATGGTAAGGATTTTCAAAACGTTGACAGTTTAATGTGGACTAATGGGTAATTATTTTGCCTATCATGGGGTTCTTCTTTTAAATGAACAGAGCGTACAATACTGGTAGAATTGAACTCATATTCACACTTTTTTGGCAAGTAAATTAGATGACACTCCACCAGCAGGCAGGGAGGCTTCAGAGAACATTTCTGTCATGAAGAGGAATAGAAGAGGAAGAGGCTCACCTGTCTGGGCTGAATGCCAGTAGGAATGTAGAACGCGGACTGTCTGGAAGCTCCACTTT